CGGAGGGGATCGGCTGGTTGGCGGGATGACGGGGTGGGCGGCTGGGCCGGTCGGCTGACGGGTTGGCTAAGTGGCGGGGTGGCTGGGTGGGCTGGCTGGCTGGTTGGACGGGTTGGCAGGTTGAGCTGGCTAGGGCAATTGGTTTCGACTCACGACTCACTACTCATTGCCCACAGATCACGACTCACTACCCAGTACTCGCTACTCGCTTCTCCCTACTCCCTACACCATACTGCCTACACAGTACTCAGTACTCACTACTCGCTACTCCCATACTCGCTACTCAATACTCACTAGTCACTCCCCGCTACTCACTATTCACTACTTACAACTCCCTACTCACTAGTCACTACATAGTCTCTAGTCACTAGTCACACCTCACTAGTCACTAGTCACTACTCACTACTCACCAATCGCTACTCCAGATTTCGCAATAAAAGGGAGGGGGTCACAACCCTCCCAAACGAGAAGTTTCAGACCCTCCAGACTATCCACGAAAGGGCGGCCCTTTGCCCAGACCCCCCCGAACCCTCCAAGACAGCTCAAAGTATATCCCCCCTTCCCGAATGTGACCCGCCCACTTTGTTATGGAATCCGGAGTACTCACTACCCACTATTCGCTACCCACTTCCTACTACTCACTGCTCACTACTCCCTACTCCCTACTCCCTACTCACTACTCACTACTCACTACTCACTACTCGCTACTCCCCACTCGTTACTCACCAATCACTACCCAGTACTCACTACTGACTACTCTCTACTCACTAATCACTACTCACTACGCCCTACTCGCTCCTCACTACTCACTACTCGCTACTCCCTACTCGCTACTCACTACTCACTAACCACTGCCACTACCCACTGCTCTCTATTCATCACTACTCACTACTCACTACTCACTACGCACTACGCACTACGCACTACCCACTACTCACTACTCACTAATCACTACTCGCCACCCACTACTCACTACCCACTACTCACTACCCACTACTCATTACTCCCTACTCCCTACTCCCACACCCACTACTCACTACTCACTACCCACTACTCACTCCCACTACTCACTACCCACTACCCACTACTCACTACTCGCTACATGCTACTCACTACTCACTACTCACTACTCGCCACTCACTACTCACTTATCAGTACACACTACTCACTATTCACTACTCACTACTCCCCACTCCCTACTCCCTACTCCCTACTCGCCACTCACTACCCACTACTCACTACCCAATACTCACTACTCATTACGCACTAACTTGCTACTCACTACTCACCAGTCCCTACTCCCAACCCGCACTCCCTGCACGAGGGGGTGGGGTGGGGACCGAACCCCCTCGCCTTCCTCCCCTTAAGGGGGAGAAGGGGGGAAGGGGGGGAAGGGGGGGGGCTCTGGGCCCGCCCCCTCCCCCCTGTCATGCCTTCAGGGAGATCCACTGGCACGCTCTCTCAAAATTAAGCATATCCCTTGGTAGGGGATTTGCGCGCGATGGAGGCCCAGAGCCATTCTCAGAGCGAGGGGGCGCACGGTAAAAGGCGGCCTCCTCCTCAGAGATGCCAATCACTTCCCTCCGAAATTGTTGAAGCCGAGCCAAGTCAGAAGCCGAAATTCGCCTACGCCCACGCGGCGTGGGCGAAGAGGCGGGAGGACTGGGAACACCACCAGGGAGAGCCACGGCATCCGTCGGAAGGAGAGCATCCGCACCAGCCAAGCCATCAGGACCGTCGTGGGCGGGCCCACGATGCGTATCATCATCCAAAGAACGCGCAGGGGGAGCACCGCCATCATGAGGGCCCAGCACGTGCAGCCCATCACAGTACGCACCAATAGACCCCGCAAACCTATCCAGATGCCTGTCGAGCACGTCTTGGAGGGACGCGAGGAATGGCACAGGAGGTAAGCCAGCATCATGAACAGCTTCAGCATGAACAGCCTGAAGATCAGCACGTACATGAGGACCATCACGTACCGGATCAGCATGTACAGGAAGATCAGCACGTACGTGATCAGCACGTTCAGGATCAGAACGAACAGGATCTGCATGTACAGGAAGGTCTGCACGTACAGGAAGATCAGCACGTACAGGATCAGCACGTACAAGAAGATCAGCACGAACACGAGGATCGACATCAGGATCCGCGCGAACGGGAAGATCGATATCAATATCTGCACGTACAGGTAGATCAGCTTCAGCAACACGTATATGATCAGCACGTACATAAAGATCAGCACTTACCTGACGATCGACATCAGGATCCGCACGAACCTGAGGATCGACATCAGGATCAGCACGTACAGGTATATTAGCACTCGCACGAGCCTCCGAAGCGTGAAGAAGATCCGCACAAGCCGCAGCAGAGTCCGAGAGGCCATCCAGTCGCAAAGAGAGCATGGCCAACTGCTGGTCAAGCAAACTCTGGATAAAAAGCCCGAACATCATCTGTACAATCAGGTCCATCAACTGTATCGTGACAGACGTGGACATCGGGAAGACCAGCAGAGCAAGCGCCACCAAGAATAACAGCGCCATCAACGTGATCAGGATAAAAAGCAGGAGCCTCAGAGTTGAAGGGGAACGTGGGCACAGCAGGAAAGGGCCCATAACCAAGAATATCATGATCGACGCCAACGCCAAGATGTCTCCGCGGCCGCTTGGCTTCAGGCCCACCGCGGCCGGCCTGCCACGGGTCAATCCCGCCAGGAGCATGCCAAAACTCCAATCCACGAAGATCAGGTGGGTCACGCCGAGCACCACCATCGAAAGGAGGCCCACCAGGCCCACGATCGCTCGCGTCATCCCCGTCATGGCCAGGTCGATCGCCACGCGAGGTCCCACCACGATCAGGTGCCGCCGAGAGCCAGATGGCGACTTCACTGGTGCGCGTCCCAACATGTCTATGTCCTCGGTCCACAGCCACGTACTCTGCACACAGGGTCCCGATGAGGTCGAACTGAACCAGTGTGATGTTCCGGGCGGTGCCCGGAACGAGGGGGCAATCGCGCGCCAGCAGCAGCTAGATCTCGCCCCTGCCCTGCGCAGCGGCGGCCGATGAGGGAGATGTGCACGGGGGTGCCACCAGCGGCCAGCCGCCGAGCCCAGGCAACGCGAGCGAGAACCACCATGACCCACGCAATTGCCGGTGCAGTGTGAAAGCCCGTGGCTCAGCTACTGCATGAGCCAAAGTGGATATGACGACTATGGTGACGATGATGATGATGATGATGATGATGATGATGATGATGATGATGATGGTGATGATGGTGATGATGGTGATGTTGATGATGATGATGATGAAGATGGCGATGATGATGAAGATGATGATGATGATGATGATGATGATGATGATGGTGATGATGATGATGATGAAGATGATGATGATGATGATGATGATGATGATGATGATGATGATGATGAGAGGGAGGGAGGAGGGAGGAGGGAGGAGGAAACGCGGGGCGCTGTCTCTTCAAAACGAAGACCCAACACCACAGGATGGCTGGGAAAAATACAGAGTACACTTGGCGGCGGCGGCGGCTGCGGCGGCTGCGGCGGGGGCGGTGGCTGCGGCGGCTGCGGGGGTGGCGGCGGCGGGGGCGGCGGCGGCGGCGGGGGCGTCGGCGGCGGCGGCAGCGGCGGCGGCGGGGCGGCGGCAGCGGTGGCGGCAGCGACTGCGGCGGCAGCGGCTGCGGCGGCGGCGATTTGGCAGCGGGGGCGGCGGCGGCGGCGGCTGCGGCGGCGGCGGCCGCGGCGGTCGGCGGCGGTGGCGGCGGCGGCGGCGGGCGGCGGCGGCGGCGGCGGCGCGGCGCCGGCGGCGGCGGCGGCGGGCGGCGGCGGCGGCGGCGGAGGCGGCGGCGGCGGCGGCGGATTGGCCCCCAGTAGCTGCCCATCCAGAGACGACTGCTGCATATGCTGCGGCTCGGGCCAGGCTCGGGTGCTACGTACGTGTTGGGAGGGCGGGTGGGAGTGAGCGAGACGGCTTGCGGGCGGGGATGGCGTCTTGACCCCTCCCCCTACCCCCTCACCATGGACCTGGACGGGGGGTTTCGCGAGTCGTCGGAGCGTCCAAAACGGCCTCGGCGAGGAAGCCAAAATCATTGGTTTTACGATGATTGTGGCCCCATTTTGGCCTCTTGGGTGGCCTGATTAATGCTCCCCTCTTGTTTGATCGATCTCCTCCAAGATGGCCCCAAGAAGCGCCCAGGAGGCCCCAAGAGGTCCCAAGATGGCCCCAAAATGGCCCGAAGAGGCCCCCAAGAGGCCCCCAGGAACCCCTCAAAAGGATCCCAAGCGGCCCCAAGAGGCCCCCCCGAGGCACCCAAGACGCCGAAGAGCCCCCCAGGATCGCCAAGAGACCCCCAAGACGTCCCAAGAGGCCACCAAACATCGCCCAAGAGATACCCCAAGAGGCTCCGAGAGGCATCCAAGAGACCTCTGGCCCTTGTGCTTGCCCTCCTCCTCCTCCTGTTCCTCCTTCCTCCTCCTACTCCTCCTCCTCCTCCTCCTCCTCCTCCCCCTCCTCCTCCTCCTCCTCCTCCTCCTCCTCCTCCTCCTCCCCCGCCTCCCCCTCATCCTATGCATCCTCCTTCTTCCCACTCCCTCATCCATCCATCCATCCATCCATCCACCTCCTCCTTCTCCTCCCACTCCTTTGCACGGTTCGGCCGTCCCCCTCTTTGCTGCCGCACTTCCCTGATCACCTCAGCTCGCCTGGACATCGTTTCTGATTGGGCTGGTGGGGATACGCGAAGCGTCTAGAACTTCTGACTGTGGCTACATATGCCGTGGCCAGCGCGCATGCGAGAGCACCTAAACCAGTCGGCGCGCAGGCTGACGATTTTCGTTCGCTAGCGCCACAGCATGCTAAAACCGCCAAACAAACACTTCGAGTGATTCGCGCAAGTCTAAGGCGGCAGGCGGAAACCCAAGCTGGACGCAACCAAATTCTACCGGCCGCTGGGTTCTCCAGCGCACAAGAAACAATCGGACGAGATGTCAGGACGGGCGCTGAGAAAGTCACGGATACGCTTCCCACTCGAAGCTGTTCCTGCTCACCTGGGCACAGATCTGGGGTCCAAGAGGCAGCCGATCGCTACGAAGCCAGGGCGGTCCTCCAGCTCGGTCACGGGCACGAGAGGAAATGAACACGGCGTGCCCATCTACACTGGAATCTACACTGTGACGACTCGCGAGCCCAGCAGCCACCCTAGCACAAGTCTCTACACGCTTGGCACTGACAAATCGTACTGCTCCCCGTGTCGGATGTCGGACTCAACGATGAGAAGACCCACCTGCCGCCTCCAGGCGGCTGGGAAGTGTCCCGGCCCAAAGAGAAGCTCGATGGCGAATCTGGCAGACAAGAAGTCGGCCTTCAGAAGCGGCATCACCTGCTCGTGATGGCGCCAATCTCAGAGGCGCATCGCGCCGCGGCGAGCTGAATGCCGCGTGGCAAGTGGTGCAACTACTCCGTCAGCCGACCTGCTTCCTGATTGCCCGGCATCGAGCTGGGCTGGGCCAATCCGCCGCGGCGTTGCGCGCCCAGCGGGCTCCTGCGTCCGAGGCTGATGTCGAGGCTCGCTCTGGCGTGTCGCAGCCCGTGCAGCGTGGGCGGCCCGAGATCCTGAAGTCCCAGTGCCAACCCGCCTCGCCTGTGCTGATTCCGCCACTGCTGATACGTGAGCTCGAACGGTGGGTGGACTAAAAGTGTCCACGCGTGTCTCGCCAAGACCTTGGGTTATTAAAGCACGTCGGACCATAATGTACACTCCCCTTCCCCCAAATTCGAAGTTGACGGGCGTGGGCGGTAGGCCGCAGGCCAGGGACAAAATGTGGATACTTCAACTTTGATTTCGGGGGGGGGGGGCGAAGCAAGGGCGTTTCCCAGTTGCGGTTGTCATCATGTTGTATCGCCTTACCGCCATGGGTGTGGACACTTTTTGTCCGGCCACCGAAGAGCGGGTTGTCTGCGTGGCGGGCCCTCTGCCGCAGGGTCCGCAGCACTGGGGTCATGAAGTCGACGAAATCCACGATCGCATCCTCGATCTGCTTCTCCGACTGGGGGGGCAAACGGCGTTCCTTCGACCAGTCCGCGAGGCTCCTCCAGCTCTCCAAGTCCAGCCGCTGGGTCCGAGGTCGTAGGCTGGCGGCCCAGAGACGGAAAGGCCTGGTCAGCTCTGGCGCGCTGCTCTGCGCAGCCAAGGCCCGGCGGGCAGCCGAGCGTGCGGCGGCGCGTCGCGCCCGCGGCTGCGCCGGGCGCCGCGCCGGCGCCATCGGCCCAGCCGCCTCCAGCGAGCTGGCCGTCGCCGAACCCGCGCCATGTCAAGGTCGCTCCGCGCTTTCCAAACGACTCGCGCCTGGCCTGGCCACTCGAGAGCGGGCCGGCCTGTCTCAGGGCGGCGCGGGCGACCCCTTTCCGAGCGGCCGCGGCAGGCCGGGCCACCGCGGCAGGGCCGCCAGCTCCAGCACCTCCTGCGACGCCAGCAGCGGGCAGACCCCTTTGTGATGGAGCATCGGCAGGGCATGGCAGGGTTTTCCTCGCTGGCGATCCGCCTCGCGCGTAGACCGAGCAGCGGGAGACGAACGCTAAGGCCGCCCACCGACGCACCGCACGGATCATCCCTGGCGTGGAGGCGCGGCCTTTGCTTAGAGCCAGAACGGCCGACATCGAGTCGCTGAGAATCAGCGCCCGCTTGCGCCGCGACACCACGACACCTGATTTCGAAGCATGTGACGAAGCCCCCACAAGGCAGCGCGGGTCTCCAGAACGAGGATACTCTCAGATCGCTCCAAGGCCTGCGATCTTATTGTCTTCCAAAGGCCTCCGACCAAGGAGCGGGGAACGAGGTCGACGCCTCGCTCCAACCGGGCGTAGTGGTCCACACCCTCCGACCCATGAGTGCCGATCGGCTTCTCACTCAACAGCTTCGACTCCTCGATGCGCTCTCGGGCCTGCTCGCGGGCCCCTTTGAGCCGCCAGACTTCTGAGAAACTCATGGCGTGCTTCACGTCGGCCTCCTGGCCCACAGTCTCCGCCACCCCAAAGCCCCATTCGGAAACGTCGGCAGCCAGAACACGGGCATAGATCGGAGCGCGCATGTCCCTCGAGCAGAAACAGATGAGATCAGAAGCCCCTCGCAGTTCTCGTCGAACAACATCCAGGGCCCCCACGCTCTCCAGGCGATGACGCCCCCAAAATGCGCATATCCCGCTGAAGACCGACAGGAACTCCCGATGCCCCGAAGCAGAAGGAAGAGATGAGTACAGTGGCCCACCAAAACCTCGACCTGCTTACCGGACAGGTAGCGCATGTGCGAAGCGTGTTGAAGAGCAAGACGCAATGTACAATCTCTTCTCTATTTACCGATCACCAGCGGTCGGCCACTCGAAAACATCCCAGAAGCTTGAAAGGTAGGGCGGACATGTCCGCCCTACTTGCGACGTCGCCCCAAGTACGGCGGATCATGAGTCAGGGTGGGCCCCGAGACGGCCGCCTATGGAGCCTCAAGCCTGCGGCACGACTTCTCGTTTCGGTCCTCGTCCCGAGGCTTCCCCCCCTCTGAGCCCGCTCGACGCCTGAGCCCACTCGGCACGCCGAACGGGCTTCCGGACGGGCTAAAATTCCCCTGGGTTGGCGCGAAGCTGGCCCGCCCAGCGGCCGAGAGGGCACACGAGGGAACCCGATAGACAGTCGGTCGATCGGCCGCTTGCCGCCCCCCCCTTCCAACCCCCTCCCCCCGAGGCCGCCGAACGGCGGCTGGAGCTGCGCCAGCCCAAGGTGTAGCGGGGCGGCGGACGCCTGCGCCAGCGCGAGCGGTCAGCGCCACCACTGTCGTCGCCGCCGCCGCCGTCGCCGTCGTCGCCGCAACGGGGGAGGGGGGGAAGAAGAAGAGGAGAAGGAGGAGGAGGAGGAGGAGGAGGAGGAGGAGGAGGAGGAGGAAGGGGAGGAGGAGGAGGAGGAGGAGGAGGAGGAGGAGGAGGAGGAGGAGGAGGAGGAGGAGGAGGAGGAGGAGGAGGAGGAGGAGGAGGAGGAGGAGGAGGAGGAGGAGGACGATGACCAGAATGAGGCCAAATTGCGTCTACGATGCTGCAATACACCATCCTGTCCCCAGTCCCTTCCTCATAGATTCCAGAAGCAATCCCGTCCACTCCGAGACGCGTTCGTCTTGAACGCCCAACACCCAATCGGCCTGCAATTCAAGCGAGAGCTCCGTTTTTTCCAGGAAAGAACTGTCTTGCATCCTTCTAGCAAATAAGATGAAACGCACTATGACAAATGATACTGCTGAAAGAGGTGTCCAACGATATCCCCGCTTTGAAATAGCACCGCCTCATCTGTGTGACCACCGCTATTCGCGACAGAAACACGCGTGCCGGGTCGAGGTAATCAAGCGTCGACGCGCGCCCCCGTTGCCCCCGTATTTCAACGTTGACGGGAGACGATTGGCTCCTCGCGAGAGTGGGCGCTTATGTCGCAACACTTTGCACCCCTCTCCGGTGCGGTCGCCCGCCAATTTCGAAATATGGGGTGTCGGGGGGGTCCTTTCGGCATTCCTATTGGCGGGCGTCTATTACGCAAACGACGATACTGCACAAGTCGTCGCTTACGGCCATGAGCGTCGAGAAACTCTCAATCGAAAAAAACCATTTTGAGAAGGAGCCGCCCTCTATCAGTGCAGATTTTGAATATGTTCAAGCTCATGGCCCTTGCAATTACATTCACCTCAATCGAACGCCCAAAACATTGGGAAACACTGCCTTTCATCCGTGCAACTCTTGCATCAACTCTGACGCGAAAACACCACTGTGAAACGGAACCGCCAACACTCCCTGAACGTAACTGTTGCAAGCTTTTGAAACGAGTTTGCGCGGCGCCGAGGCGAGATCCAAATTTTGAGAAAGTACCGCCCTCCACTGGCCCTCCATTGAACGTGATGCAAAACGACTGTGCACAGCGCTAGCGCGAGAACAATATTTTGAAAAAGCATGGCCCTCCATCCTTGAAGCCGTCGCAGAATTTTAAGACAAATGTGCGTGGCGCTGAGGCCAGAGCCACATGTTGAAAGCTTATCCCCTCCATCCTTGAACCTGTTTCAAATTCAAAGCTTCATTTCGGCGAAACGCCTGGTCCGCCCTGCCAACACGTCTGATGGAAAAGGGACGGAGGAGGAGGAGGAGGAGGAGGAGGAGGAGGAGGATGGACGAGAAGAAGGATGAGGAGAAAATTCGAGGATGGGAAAGATAGGGGGAGAGTTCGAGGAGGAGAAAAAGGAGAAGGACCGAGAGTTCGACGAGGAAAAACTTCGAGGAGGAGGAAAAGAAGGAGAGGAAGGAGAAGGAAGAGAAGGAGGAGGAGGAGGAGGAGGAGGGGAAGGAGGAAGCCTCGGGACCGAGCGGGCCTGGGGCTAGGCGCGTCGCCCTCACCTGGGCAGTCCGCGTATCGTACAATTTCATATGTCCAATGCACAATCTCGCATGTTTTACCCTCGTTTCTACATTTCTCGTTGTCTATCACATTTCATCCTTACCAGTATTGCGTTGATGCCAAGATGGACCGCATGTATTGATCCGATTGGCAGCGTCCAACATGGCTTAGATAATGCCGAGGTGACAAAATCCGCCGATTTGGACGTTCGTGAGAACAGAGGGTTTTCTCATCTCTCGTAGCCTCTCCCCTGCTCTCCTCTCTCCGTAACCCTCTGCTCAAGGCCTCTAGCGAGGCCAATTCTCTTTTGGGGTGAGCGGGCGGTGCCATAGCTCCCTGGCACAGCGTGCGGCGCAGCCAGGCAGTCCGAGGGGTGCTGGGTAGCGGCTCGGCCAGGTCCCCCCATCCAGCGCGGGCGGGGGCTCCAGAGGGGAGCCTCGCGGCCCGCGGCGGACGCCTGGCAGGCGCCCTCTGCTCGAAGGGGCAGAGGCAGCAGGGAGATACTGGTGATGTGGCACGTCTCCCTGGAGTGCGTGATCTCCACGGCACTGGTGGCCACGCTCGGGTGGCTAAGTTCTTCCTTGGGCGCAGGGCTGTCAGCTGCCTTCTCGGCCTCCGCCAGCTATGCGCCAGGGCCGAGCGATGTCCATGCGCAGGAGGAGCCGGGCGCGGCCAGCAGCTGCGCAGAGGAGGCTGCGGAAGGCCAGCCAGCCGACCCCGTGCTGCCCGTGGAGGCGGAACAACCGGAGGAGGCGGCGGCGCCGCAGCTTGAGGCGCCCTCGACTACGAGCCCGCCGCCAGCCATGGCCGGTTCGGGTGGGCGCGCCACCAGTCACGAGGAGCACTACTACCTCGTGTACTACTACGAGGACGGGGTGCTGCCGAACCCGCTCCCGGGGATGCAGCCCGTGGCGCCAGCTGTGCCCGGACCGCTGCTCGAGGATAGAGCGACGCCGAGAGAGTCGTAACGACCTCAGGCGGGCGAGCAGCAGCCGCCCGCCCCACAGCGGCGTCTGGCGGTGGCAGAGCCTCGATCGACGGGCAACGCCACTCGCTCGCAGCGGGCGCCGGCGCCACCGCCGCCGCCGGGGGAGCCGCCAGCTGGAGGAGCTGGGGTAGCGACTTCGGGTTAGCAAAATTGTTAACTCTATCATAATTATGGTTTCAGTTGTCGCGAGTGTAAGTGAACTTACAGAAGCCGCAACTACACTTGTACGGAGCCCGTAACTATAGTTATACACCAAGTTATAATGAACATGTAGTCGTGTTATGACTGGGATAACTTCCATAACTTCTATGACCCCACCGATATGGATTTTGGTCCAGCATTTGAGATATCGCACCCCGCGTGCGATAATGAATTGTCTGAGCGATCTAATCGTCTAATCGCTAGGATGGGGAACAAGAGGGAGGGGGACAGGAGTGAATTGTCTGAGCGATCTAATGACTAGGGTGGGGAGCGGGAGGGAGGGGGACATGTGACAGGAGGGAATTGACTGAACGATCTAATCGCTAGGGATGGGGCACAAGAGGGAATTGTGTGAGCGATATAATCGCTAGGGACAGGAGGGTGGAAAATGGTGATGATAGCGATGCATTCGCTAAGGGATGCTAAAACATGAACGATTAATTCGCTATGCAACTCACCAGTGGCTGCCCAAAGCGACCTCCACAATGGCAGCTGCGTGCTTGCGCAAGCCCGCGCAAGGTAACGGAAAGAGCGAGGTACGAGTGATGACGTTGTGTTTTGGGCGACGCCCCTAAGGGGCAATGCAGAGGGGGGGGTAGGGCGAGGAATGAGTGTTAATGGCCGTTTTCGGGTATTCCATCGGGTTTTTGCATGTTTTTG